CTGAGCCGGGCGGGGCGGGGCGCGGCGCGCGTTACCTGGGGCATGGCGTGATGTCTTCCCCCTCCCCGGGGGCTCCGCGCGCGAGAGGCGAAGAAGTGGGTTTGTGGAGCTGACCGAGACGTAAAAAATAAAGATAACAAGAAAGGAATTCCCTGGCACGGCGCTGCTTTTCCTTAGTCGCCCGTGAAACGAGAGCAGATACTGAGGGGGGACCGAGGAGCTTCAGCCCCCCCGGGCCAGGGTGGCCACCAGAGTTGTGGCTGGGCACGTGCTGGAGGGATCTCGCAGGCTGTGCTGGGGAGATGGTTGCTTTATCTGCCGGGGCTTTTTTTTTTTTTTTTTTTTTTTTTTTGCAATACCTTCACTTCTTCGTGTCATTGGTACTATTGTACATGATACTGATTTTTTTTCTAAAAGCTTTTAAAATGTAATAGTTATAATTCCATCTCCGTAATCTTTGGAATTGCACTTCATTGATCTAAGAAATTTCCTTTTTCCTCCAGTCTTCTTCCCAGATTGTTGGTTTTAGGAAGATGTGATGGGAGGAAAAAGTGCATCCAAAATCAAAGTAGAAACAAGGGGTAAGAGGCCTTTTATTTAAGACTAAACCTTTAATTTAGTTAACTTAGGATTTCTACTAACTGCGTAGTGGTATATGTGAATCCTGGTTATTATACCTGCTTGCTACTTCTTCCCCCCACCCCACTGCTGAAAATAGCCTGATTCTGCTGTTATGTATCTTACACAGTTGATAAGCGGATTGAATCAGAAGAGTCAGGAGATGAAGAAGGGAAGAAGCAAGCAGTTCGCTTAGTAACAGACCTCAGCCAGCAGAGCCTGAGGGATGAGCAGAACGGTGAGAACTCCGCAGGTACCTTGCCAGAGTGGTCGCGGTAGGAAGTGTCTCCTTACCGGTGTGTGCAGCGGCGTGCGTGTATCAGTCCTTTGTGTTTCTTGTGACAGTTGCACTGATGTTAGTTAAGGGCATGAATCTGCCCTCGAGCATTCTTCTCTAAAAAATGAATAAGCTATAGTGTTGTCATTGCTAAAATAAAGCTGCCTTCTTTTCCCAGAACCGTTGATACTAGACCTTTGGGTTTTTCCTTATTTACTCATCCATCCACGTTTCTATTTGAAATCGTTAATATCAAAAATGCAAAACACCTTCATTCATATCTTTTTTTGTGGAAACATAGTAACTATCTGTGGAACGAAGCTGGAAACATTCGGTAGAAGTAAACGTAAACACCTTTTCATTATTATGCTTTAGCGTATGTAGCTTTTTTACCTGACGAGTTGCCAGATTCCTTTGGAAGGCAAAGACAACTCTTTTTGGATAGATTGAAGGAACCTACCAATTTTAGTTTTTTAAATTAAAAATTCTAAGACATACAAAAATGATAACTGTCTGAATCCCCTCGCCTTTACACTTTCGCTACTGTTTTTACTGTTTGTGTTAGAACACTGGGTAGAAATGTTGGCCGGCTTTTCTAAGCCTGTACGTGTTTGATGGAAGCGTTTGCTTTTCAGTAGCTTGCATAGAATTTGTCCGAGCAGATCCATTTCTGAAGACCCCGAACAGCAATGTTACCTGGGCTTCTGGCACTAGCTAGCATCCTTTTGCTAGATGTGTGGATGTGATGATTGTTGGACTGGGAACAGAAGTGAAATAATACAGTAAACTTTCTGCAGGAAATTTTAATCCTTTTTGACTGTGCATCTGCTGTGAATCCCTCCTAATCTTAACCTTGCCCGTTCAAATTTGCAAAAGCATTTTCCAAACTAGAAAATTCTTGTGAGAATTTTAAATCTCATCTCCTAACTATAAATGAACTCTATCTAGGTATAATTTATCGCTGATCATGAAAAACTTCTATATATTGATTAAAAACTGCTGCGATGATGCCTGTAATAAGAGCGCGCCTCGCATGTTGTACGTACCTAGCGCTGTACGATCAATACATCCGGGCAGATCAGTCAGTCACAGTTCTCCTTTGCGTGGATGTAACAGCGAGTGTTCGTTCAGCTGACATCGTTTAGCTGTGCGTGCACGGTGATATTTTGTACGTTGTTGCCCTGGGAATTACAGAATTAGAGAAAACTTTTTCTTGCTTTCACTGGAATAACACATTTGGATTCGGTGGCTGAATTACGCTGGATACAATTTAATGGAATGACTGTATTGTTGCTGCTTCTTCCAAACTGTTAGTATTCAGAAAGCTTCTACTGGAGTAGAAAGCGAGCAGAGGAATAATTTTGGAACATTTGAGTTGGTTTCCGCAGCCAGCTTTGAGTTCCTCAGCTGCAAGGAAAATGAAGTTTTCCACATTTTTCGCAGGAGATCATAAATAGAAAGAGCTCAAGCAGCTGGAACTTCAAATTTATCATTTAGCTAATTCTCTGAGGAACAACGCCTCTGTTCAGAAAGCTTTTGGCTTAGCTATGTATCATATTTTTCATGCACACGCAGTTAAAAAGTGTAGTTAGGTTTTTGGTTGCTTTAAATGCTTGTGGTGCTGTGAACTTACGTAACTCGGTAACTACCGTTCCATGCTGCGGAATTTGGGTTTCCTGAATGTCGTGTTTTTTTCCTACATCTGCAGAGCTGTGTAGCTCGCAGGCACGGGTTACACAGAAATTCGCTTAAGTGACTTCACTGCCAGAGCAATGTTTTTCCCCCTGAGAAACACGCTGCATTAAAAACTGTGAGCTAAAGCACTGTTTGCAGACTTGCTGCATGCAAGTGAAATTGCAGTTCTGCTTGTAAAGTGATTGTAGAAGGATTGGCTTAGGGCAGTTTATGTCCGCTTGGCTCATAGGTTCATAAATAAAATGTTGGTTGACAGTTGATAGGGCTGAAAATTTGCTAGAACCATTTTTATTTCTCTGAGAGAAAACGTACTTTAGCGTTCTCGCACTGATACTGATTGTCAGTGTTGTCAGTACCCACGTCTCACCTGGACTGCTATAGGGAGAGCGTTTTATACACAGTACATAAACTCCATGAGAGTTGGCCTATTACATAAATGCTAGTGCCTCCATGTTCAGTCTTAAATTGCTCTTATTTCAGTGAATTTGATGCATGCATCCAGTGTGATTTGGCCTTGTGCCTTCGGACTTGTGGGCTTTTTTCCCCACACTGGTTCTACCAGGACTGGCAAAAATAGGAGGAGCTGCCCTTTGCCAGATCCCAGGACAGAGTGTTTTAATGCATCGCCCAAACCAAATGTGTATAAGTGGTCTGTAATGGGTGCTGTGACGAAACGCCTAATTTCATAGAGAAGCCTGCCAGCCAAACAAAGTTAAAGAATTTTTTTGACTTGAATTTTTTTGTGTTGAAGAATTTTTTTTACTTGGTGCATGACTGGCTTTACTGTTGGACAACTTTAAAGTCTCAAAAGGAGAACTTTCTTCGCCGCGAGCATTAACTTCCTGATCATACAACTTAATACAAAGGGGATGGTTTGGTGTTTTTATGTGATATCTCAAATAACTGTCGTCCAAACTTGGGCTGTGTTCCTGTTGGCTGTAAATTCAGCTAGGGTGCTTGTTTGGCTTGGAGCACTTGGTGCTGGCAGCCTTTGCGCCCTAGAAATAGGCGCAAGAGATGCGGCCTGGGTAGCGGCAGGGTTGAGTGTCCCATTCCCCTGCTGAAGTGCATAGCTCCTGATCTGGAAGGAAAATAAGAAAATTCAAGTGTTGCCCACTGCTAAAATGCAGACAGGCATAGGTATGCGTGACGGTAGCATTTCTATACTGCGATA